AGAGACAGAGAGAGAGAAACAGAGAGAGAGACAGAGAGAGAGAAACAGAGAGAGAGACAGAGAGACAGAGAGACAGAGAGAGAGAGAGACAGAGAGACAGAGAGAGAGAGAGAGAGAGAGAAACAGGATCCAGTGTGAGCCAGAGAGTGATCTTTTTAGTCACTGGTGGGGGCTGTGCAATGCCTGCGCAATCATAGTTTTGTTTACGCCCCATGTTTCTCCCGAATGGGGACCCCCAAAGTGGCTCACCCCATTCTCCTCTCCTCCGTTCTGTCCTCACAACAGCCCTGCAAGGTAGATTAGGCCGAGAGCGTTTGCCTGGCCCAAGGTTGCCCAGTGAGCTCTCTGGGCAGAGAATGGATTCAGACCTGGATCTCTGGGACCCTAGTCTGACCCTCCAGCCGCTTCACCGCGCTGGGTCTTCGTATTCGTGCCGCTCAGTTATTGAGGCTGGAGATCAGATTCCCAGCGAGAACCCTTTGGGGTCTGCTAGCCCCCTGTGCCTCAGCACGAGCCAGGCGGGGCTGTGTTCAGCCCACCCGTTATCGCTGCATGAAGGGGGGACGGGATATTGTGTGCCCGTCTGGGTAGGGATGCACAAATTAATCCATATTGCCTTCTAGGGACACGGATATGCCCCGGCAGCCACTGGTAAATCCCCCCCTCCCCAGCCCGTAATTTGTAAAGATGCTCAAAGAGAGCTGGCCCAAGATCTTGGAAGCCAGGTGGGGTCAGTCCTGTGTGGTATTTGGATGGGCGACCCCCAAGGAAGTCCAGGGTTGGTCTGCAGAGGTGGGCTGTGGCTGACCACCCCCAAATGTCTCTTGCCTTCAGAACCCACCAGGATCGCTTCTAGTCGGCTGCGACTTGGTGGCATTTCCCACAGCCACCACAAACAAGGATTAAAAGAATAACCGGACCTCCATCAAATCGGTCAATGATTACAAAATCAATCCAAGTATTTATTGATTTGATTTATATTCCGCCCTATCCTGCAAGCGGGCTCAGAGCGGGTAACAATTTATAGGTTAACAACCACGAGAGCATTTAACATAAAAACTAAGACAAGTTTTAAATGGTCAGGTAATAGCAACGACAGCAGCAAGACGGAGAATTCAAATGCCTCCTGCAGTTGACAGTCTTCTAGCGTGGTTAGTTTGGACGAAACACAGTG